CAGCATATTTTCCAGTATTTCTATAGTTACTAAAGTATCTATTCCCTGATTGGACCTTCACATTCTTCTTTAATCTCTGCTTTCCAGGCTATCTTTCAAGTCTAAATATGAAATTATTCCCTATATATCCACCAAACATAATAAAAGTCTCCTCCTGTGTTTTACATTTCCCACACTATTTAAAAACATTTTAATATCTTTTAAAAAATTCATTGGCATTGTTTACCATCAGTAAATCATATATCATCTACAAAACATCTTATCTGCATTTTCTTTAATAATTACTGATTTTTAAACATTTATATTCTTCTACTATTTTATACCCTACAGTCTTTAACCATTTTATTCATTTAGTCCATTTTTATTGTTGAGGTTTTCTTTCCTCCTCCTGGATCCTCTTGTTTCTATAGTGTGCTTTCCTTTAGAGCTTCTCACTTGCTCTTTTGTTCTAGTCGAGCTTCTTTCTGCCTCTGATCCTGATGATCCACTTGATTTCTCCTCTTCTTGTTTCTCATCTGCTTTTTGCTCCTTTTTTCTGCCCAGCCACTTTTCCTTTGTTTTCATAAAATCTTCTACCTTCAGTTTTGAGTTAATATAATAACTCTGCTCCTGGAATTCAAAGAGGGCACCAACTACTTATACATAATTGAGTTTGTTCTCAAGAGGGATGTCAACTCCACATATTCACACGTTTTTCTGTCTTAATTGCCATGGAATATGTTTCAGTACTTAATTTCTTTATATTTTCTATTAAGTACCTTACCTTGTATATTTCTTGGAACTTTATATCAAAAGATCTTTCTTGTAAATTTAACATTATTTTCTCTGGGGAGATTTTTATTCCTGGTGCTATATTAATGCTTCGTGCTGTGTCTATATTTTGTTGAACATCCTCTGGTTGCATATCCATGAGTGATGCTAAATAAGTAGCAATCACTTGCACGGTGTCTTCTTCTTTTTGTTCTGGTAGATTCTGGAATCTAATATGGCATTGACTCTTTCCATTTGTAGATTTAACAGAGTAATTTCATTTTGCTTGCTTCCCCATTTTTGCTCTCCCATCTCTGTATTGAAAGTCTCGTCTTTCTTCTGTTCTTTTTGATGCCCCATATATTCTGGCTATTTGTTTTTTATTTTCTGTAATTTGATTTTTAATATCAGTCATTTGCATCCCTGAATCTTTCATAAGTACACATAGCTGAGCCATCCCTCCTTGTTGTTGCTTTAGCCCTGTTGATAACATCTCTTGAATACTTTGATGCCAGTCCTTAAATGACTCTTGTCCCAATATCCCACTGAGTTTCTATTCCTCTGCCAGTGAACCTCTTTGAATTCTCTCTTTTCCTCTTTTTGTTGCCATATTCATCCCCAGCCTTCTTCTTAAGTTAAGTAAATAAGGAGTGTGTCAGCAGATTTCTGTCAGCACCTGTTTTCTTTTTAAAGGGTGTTGTTTAAGTCTTCTGTCAACAGATGTCGCTGTAACCTTAATTTTCTTTCTCAGTCTTATTTGCATGTACCATCAAGGGTATGTGTGGAGCTTCCCTCCAGGTAGAAAGTTCTCACAGTCACCAAGTCACAACAATAATAATTTAAACGATCCACAGTGCTTTAAAGTAAGTAGGATTAAATATCATATTTGAGATAGTCACAGGAGCAAGGCTTTTATCTTCTCCGTTCCTCTCTTCTCTCCTCTTCTTCTCCAGATCCAAGCTGGGGGGGGGGGGAGGCTCACGTCTCCCATAAGATTTTTTTAAAGGTAAAGTCCATTTTGCCAGCTCTTTATATCTATCTCTGTTCTGTGTAGTTATTTGGGTCCATGGAGATTTTCCTTACATGAACAGATATTTTAACTTAGAGTCTCTGGTTGGGATATTTCCAACAGCCTTTTGCACACTCTCACTCTGTGCTTGGGGCATTCCCAACTCTTTGTCAAGATGGTTTCCTCCTCAGTCCATGCACTCAGATGCGACTTCAGAGGGGGGACCAGCCTTCACTGATCCCATTCCCCCTTTTGTCATCTCTGCTGCTTTGGACGTTGCTTCTCCTAGTAGGGTCTCCCCCTCCCCAATTTGGGGGCCCCAGAACCAAGGGGTCCCAGTCAGTTTCAGGAGCTTGCTTGAAACCCAACCAGTTCTCACCACAACAAAACTCCACCTCACTTGCCATCCGCTTCACTGACTTCTGAGGGGAATCTGTGGCAGGCCATACCTCTTCTGGCATCTTCCCACACTTCTATAGCTTTCTTGACCCAATTCCTAATAATTTTTGAAAATCTATTTTTTAAAAAGAGAAGATAGTAGATTAAGACTACTTGATCTTAAAGTGTACTCAGAGCATTAAAACTGCATGCATGTTGTTTTTAATGGATGGTGAAAACCAAATATACTAATATCCTTTGAAGGTGTCAGCCTTTAAATTAAGACTGTGGTTTTATTGCTGCAACTTTATACAGTGACTTAAATGCCCTGAAAATTTATGAATTTAATTAACCCAGGTAGCCTCCACAGCTATTCAGTTCACAATTGTATCAAGTCATGATTGCATTCATAATTGCTGTAGCCGATTTATCATGTAGTGGCCAACCTTCTACATTTAGCTGGACTGGTCCTCAAACAGCAATCTACTATTGGGGCTAAACTTAGTGTCTGATCAACCTGATAGAATATGAGTGTCATTCCACTGGCATAATATTTCAAAGCCCAAATTGCCATGCTATTGTAGAGAGCCTGTAGGGTTTTATGGACACATAAAAGAATACTTTTTGAAAGAATACATAATAATAATACATAATTATGCACAGGATTAAGAGGGTGTTGGAACTAATTCCACATGCCCCAAGGAAGCTTTGGAGTTGCATTTTCTAAGGAGCACAACAGTGCTTCATGAGAAGCTATATTTGAAACAGAGTAGTGATGGGATCCTTCTATGGTATGGCACAATTCAATCCCATTGGTTGTATAAACTCTTGAGCAGGTCTAAAGTGGTTCTTTGGATGACATCTTCTGAATCTGGTCTCAACAACTATGATTTCAAACTAGGCTGTCAAAATACTCAAGAGTTACAAACATTTTGGCGAGCTTAGTCATTTAAACTGTCACACCTTTGATGTTTTTGCTCGAAGCTATGAAGGATGTCCTCAGAGGGTGAAAGAAGGGAATTTTCCAGGGGAATATTGAGCCCTTGCTTATGTAAATGTTTTTACATTGGACTGGCAGTGCATTGGAATGTTCCCTTCTGTATTTTAAAGCTGAAAAAATGTATTGTCTTCATTATATCTAATGGGTGAACCAGTTTTTACACCCATATATTGGTATCTGTTTGCCAGACAAACATCATGACATAGTCTGAATTTCAGGGGCAAAAGTGGTATCACTTCCTTCTGAGGTCATAGTGACAGGCAGGCAAGGGACAGTAGGACTGGAAGTCATTTCTAGACCAGTTATTTGTGAAAATACAAGACAAATCTGGGTAAATGGGCTAAGAATCTGGGCAAAATCTTGCTAATCAAGTAACAATCCCACAGCCAGGGAAAAAGCTAGGTGGTGTTTAGAAGATGCAGCAGCTGTGACCCTTACTGTTAGGATTCACAGTTTGTACAACATCACTACAGTTCACCTGACAAGTGAGAATGTCAACCTTATGCTCTTGCTGAGGTCTGAGTCACTCTTAGCCCCTGGTATTGTTTTTCATGCTCTAATCCACTGCTGTCAGAGCTCGTGTAACAAGAAGGATCACAAGTTGCATTACTAGCACTGCTCCTTGCTTTGTTCCTAACAGTGTGACCAAATGCATGCATTTACCAGCTGTCTCCTCTGCCTTCTCTGCTCCAGCAGAACAAACACATTTGCCTTGGATCAGTAGGCCCTGCCACCAAGCTGAGCCAGGGTAGAGATTAGTGACGCCCATGATAGCTACGAATCAATGAATTTTTAGTGATTTTTGATTTGTTGATTAGTTGAGATATAAAAGCCGCCCCCCCCCCGGATCCTAGAGACACCAAAATTGCAGAAAGTCTTCGGCTGGCTCTCCTCTACAAGACCTGCAACTCTGGTGAAGTTTGGGTTTCAGATGTTCAAGGTATACACTCACAAATAGGGTCACCCATGAAGGTTCCCCCCCAGGCACCAAGAGGCACCAAAGTTACACGAAATCTTCCCCTGACCCTCTTCTACAAGTTTGGTGAAGATTGGGTTCCTCCTCAAAGTAAAGGTAAAGGTCCCCCTTGACAATTTGTCTAGTCGTGTTCGACTCTAGGGGGCGGTGCTCATCCCCGTTTCCAAGCCATAGAGCCAGTGTTTGTCCGAAGACAATCTTCCGTGGTCACATGGCCAGTGCGACTTAGACACAGAACGCTGTTTACCTTCCCACCGAGGTGGTCCCTATTTATCTACTCGCATTTGCATGCTTTCGAACCGCTAGGTTGGTGGGAGCTGGGACAAGTGATATGTGCTCACTCTGTCACATGGATACGATCTTGCAGCTGCAGATGTATAGACCTTACAGCACAGAGGTTTCTGTGGTTTAAACCGCAGCGTCACCACGTTGGTTCCCCCTCAAGCCAGCTGCTAAAGGGCAATTTCCTGGGGGAATCCATTTTGTGGGTGTATAACTCAGATGTCTGATTCTTTGATTCATTGGATGAAATGTGTAAATTTGTTATTTGTTATTAATTAACCTTGACTAATTATGAATTGTGATGAATCATCATTTTTTTTTCAATTTGTGCCCATCTCTAGTAGAGATGCTTGCCCAGGCTTTAAAGACATCTGACAAAGAAAAGTCAGATTTTTTTTCTTCCCTCAGCAGTGCCATGACAGAGCATAGGAATTTTCACAGTCTTCACTCAGTACTCTGAGACCTGTTGATCCTAATTAATTGTACACTTCTGAACATATGAATTGGCCATATCTTCTTTTGACGTGGTTTCCAATATGTTTGTGATATAGTACATTTACAATCTCAGTGTAGCAAAGTTATTTCTTCTTCTCTTACTTTATTAGATGAACAAGAGTCTGTGCAAAAGAGGACATTCACAAAATGGATCAACACTCATCTGGCCAAGGTAATCTTTAGGTTTTCTGTTTATGTTTACATGGTAAATGACAATTCTGAAACAATGATCATGTAAGAAATTAAGCAGAATCCACTATTCTGCTCATATGCAAAGGCTCTTTTTTCTAAACAAAATCCTGGTTGCATCCAACTTGTTCATGGTTTTGAAAGGCGGGAGATGAATGTTTTCCATAACTATAGTTATTTAATGACCAATGATGACAGTTCTCCATGATGACAATGTGTGTGGTACAGCTATTATCGATAAGAATGTGTGCTTCCTGTATTAAAGAGGAAGTTAAAGGGAAAGCTTAAAGTTGAATGTACTTTTATTTCTAAGTACTTTGATTTTTATATTGTTAAAAGAAGCAAAAAATGATTCTTCCCTAAGTGTTTCATATTGACAACCTTGTGATTGTTTTGACTGTATTTCTCAAAAGATACATGAAAGTCACTTACAAATGAATTTTCTGTGCCATATTATACTATGCTCAATCATAAAGAAACCAGAGAAACAGATAATCAATCTGTTTCTAGCTTGCATCAATTTCAAATGTATTTATCGGAAAGTCTGCTGTGTCCTGTTTTTGCTTTAATCAGAATTTCAAATATTTGCATTCACACGGGGACTCACATCTGCTTACTTAATAATTAATTTAAAATGTTTTTTCTTTCAAAATACCCTTTTCTAAATGGTTTTATCTCAAAATGTATATTTTAAAATGCTTTTCATGATGAAAACTGTTAGAATACTGGGAAACAGGAAAGCGGTTATCTATGTTCTGGTCTGTATATTAGTGAGGGATGACTTTTTTAAGACTTTGGGTCATTTGGATCTTGCTGAAAATGTCTCCAGGTATAATGTCTTCAAAGTGCATGCATAGTTCTTTTTTAAAAAAGTAAAAATTCACCAGGGTTATAATAAACTGCTTATAAGTAAATTGGACCACATAGATCTATCAATAATTATAGCACATATGGTTTTGGCTTTTGATTTTGGCAGATGTGATATTTAGGAGTGTGTAGGAAGATGTAAAACACTGGTGGTGATGAAGAACCACCAACATAAGAAATTTTATGAAGATAGTAGGAGGCATATGTATTATTTGGAAATCATTTTAAAAGTCAGCAAATTGGCTTTCCTTCATAGTGCTCATTTACTTATTTGTGTTAATTCAGAACTGATTAGTAATTTAAATTTACAGAATGTGGTGACTATGGCAGTGCTGATTCTGCCCAAATGATTTGGAGATAGGGATAAGAAGTGATATTACTATGCTTACAGGTAACACTTCTGAAACACTGGGAAAGGATCTCTCCAAACTGGGAAAATGTTTGGAGTGTTACAATGGCAAATGTAAGCAAGTATAAAACGATACACATTGAAGAAAAAAAAAACTTATTTCACAAATACATAGGCATAATCTTAGCCGGTGGTGACTCACCAGGATAAGAATCTTGCAGTTGTGGCTGGATTGAAATGGAGAAGAAGCCATGTTGGCTGTAAGCCATTGAAATGAGGTAAATGCTGAATGTCTGAGAATTCTGAAATAAAGCCATTGATGCTGTAGCTAGAGATGCTAAGGTTATAGTTGTACACTCACTTATGGAAGAACCTAAATTAAACCCAAAGGGAGTAAGCCCTATTAAACTGGAACAGGGGTTTAATCTTGTATACCTTTTTTCTCTTATATTGGATCAGAATCTTCCTTTGAATTTATAATAAAAACAGCTGCAGATACTCCCCGTTATAATTTATTTGGTTTATTTCTCACTTTCTGTATAGGATGTTGGATCAAATACAGTAGGTTAATAGTACTGTCCCACTGGAAATTGTAAATACGGTGGATGTCTCCTTGTACCCATCAAGTTAGTAGACTGATTGGACTCGAATTCCAAGTTTTTGCATTAGCCACTTCACTAAAATTGGCTGAACTCCTGTTGCATTTTTTTTACCTGTAGAGGGGTGATGTTGCTGTGGTTTTTAGTAATTCATTTTTTTCTACCTCTGTCCCACAGCCTTTCTGGCTCCCACATAATCCCATTCAGCCAGCAGTGGGATAGGGGAGGATGAATGAATGGATAAATTTACAGTATTGCAGTATAAAACCATAGGAATACATCTAGCACAGTTACAGGATAATGCCCTCGTAATATAAGGGAATATCTACAGAGAATTCAAAGTTTAAAATTTAATTTAGAATTTGAACCTTCTAATTTACCCATTTTCTTAGTATGAAATTTAATCAAATATAAACAAAATTGAGCTATTTGTTTAGTAATAAAAGAGTTTTCATCATTTAAAAGTTTTTCCAAACCCTCCTCATTTGCATTTTCTGTTAATCTATCTAAACATGGCAGGACAAATCTCTCCCTATATGAGTGGTGAAAGGGGCAGTGGAAAAACATATATACCGATATCGATAAGGGGAGGGGTTTTTCATTATAGACAGCCCTCTCATTGGTAATGTCATCTGGCAGCAGCAATTTTTGATAATGAAAGACTTCTTCATTCCATCCCAAAGCTCCTGTGCCTTCCACATGATGAAAGAGATTACAAGGGAGTAGGGAAAGCTGCGGGATAGAAATAGGAAGTTTAAAACTACTGAAAATCCTCTCTCACACACATTCTTCTGTAGATGTAGCTACACTGACAGGATTTCAATTATTTTTAAATTGTTGTGAGTTCCAAGTGACTCTCAGGTTGTATTTGAAAATGCCCTATATATTTCATAGAACTAGGTTGCCTCCTGTTCATATGCAGTACATCATCTTAAACAGGATTCAATTTCAAGTTGCTGGCTTGAGATTCACTCAGCTTTCCATCCTTTTGCAATGGGTAAATTGAGTACACAGCTCTTGGGTGGGTGGGGGTAAAGTGCAGTCTGCATAATAAAATTGCAAACCACCTTGGGAGTGCTTGAAGCACTATGGGGTGGTATATAAGCAGCACACTTTGCTTTTACTTTAAATCAGTTATGATTTGCCTAGTGAAAAACAGCTGCCTATACTGAGTATAAGTAGAAGTGGGAAAAATGCCAAGTTCATATTTGTTTGCATCTTGTGAATAATCAGTGAACCAACATTGCTCACTCAAGCCTTCTGTTATATACCAAAATTGTGGTGTCAGAAGAAAAACAGCTTATTTATTTTATTTATTTATTTATTTGATTTTTACCCCGCCCCTCTAGACCATGTCTACTCGTAGACAGCTTATCCAGTACTGGTGTTATTATATTTGGAGGGGAAACTCTCCAGCAAGGAAAATGCAGTGCACCCTTGCTTTTTTCTCCAGTTCGCACATTCTGTATCATTAAATAATAAACTGTAAAGAAAAAGATTCTTCCCTCCCCATCTTGCACATGGAGCATTTCCAGCATTTCCCATAATCAAGACTGAAATAAATGACTGGAAAAAAAATAGGTTTCAGACCAATATGGCTTCAACTTTCCTGTTGATACTTCTTATATCAAAACAATAATATTAGACCTGTATGGGTGGTGACAACAACACTGGTCTGAATCCAGTTGCTGACCCTAGAGTAGATCCATTGAATTTGTGTTGCTTAACCTAATGCCTGAAGAAGAGTGATGCCATGGACAGGAATCAATTTTTTGGTTGTTAAAAACTTCCTAATTTTATCCTGTGGCTTTTCCAGTTCTGGTGTAATCCCTTTCATCACATGGCTTCCATGTGATGAATGGTTTAGGATGGAATTAAGTCGTGTTGCGTCCTGTCCATAAATTACGCAGCAGGATTTCAGCCAGAATTTTCCAACTACTCTCATTGTGATTATCAGTTGGATTTAGGCCATAGTCATTTCTTGCCCTAATATTATCCTTTCCATTTGTTTGGAAAGCGAAAAGCTAATGTGGAGAATGACCACATTGTTAGCCGTGACTTTGGTATTCTTATGTCAGTAGAACACTGTTGGATACAGCCAGCAGCCAGCAACAGATAATGTAACTCCTGTAACAAAAGATCCAACCCTGAGGGGGAGAGTATTTTCAGATTTCTGAGACTATTGTGAAATAAGAGCAATGTGTTTCTTCTGCCCTGTTTTGTCATGTTAGCATCCTGAGGGGAAACACAGTTTATATGACATACAGCCATCTGGTTTTTAATTATACAAAATACACACAGTTCTGGCTGTGCAGACATGAATTCTCATAAGCAGAGTCTTTAGATAATAAAGTTGTTTGCTTCAGATTTATAATATTGTTATTCTGCTACCCACTGAAGATCTACAAAACAAGCATACTCTATATATTTAGCTGCTATTACGTGAATAGACTCAGGGCTGGCATAAGCATTCCTCATCTTAGAAAAATAAAGGTAAAGGTAAAGGTTCCCCTTGACATTTTTAGTCCAGTCGTGTCCGACTCTAGGGGGCGATTCTCATCCCGTTTTTCAAGCAGTAGAGCCAGTGCTTGTCCGAAGACAGTTTCCATTGCCAGGTGGCCAGCGTGACTAGAGAGCGTCGTTTTACCTTCCCACTGAGATGGCACCTATTTATCCACTCGCATTTACATGTTTCTGAACTGCTAGGTTGGTGAGGAGCTGGGACAAAGAGACGGGAGCTCACTCCGTCATGTGGATTTGATCTTACGACTGCTGGTCTTCTGACCCTGCAGCACAGGCTCCTGTGGTTTAGCCCGCAGCGTCACCACGTCCCTTCAGCGCCACCACGTCCCTTAGAAAAATAGACAAATATGAAACTAAAGGTTAATGTTTTTGCTTTAATTTTTGCAGTATATCAGTACCTGTGTGATATAGCATTTTTATAAGGTTTCTAAAGATACCAGACTGAAACAGTCTCTTTGTTCAGGCTATGCAAGTCTAGAGTCTAATTACACACCATGTTGAATGCAATTTCCTTATTAGTCTGTTACAGTAAAAATACCAGACTCTATTATGGCATAAGCTTTCATGTGCTATAGCCTACTTCATCATGAAGTGTTACCTTCAATTACAGATATACACAGACTGACACCTTTAATTAGGAGAAAGGTGAGAATAACATAGAATTGACCTGAACAGGGACAATGTTTTTTTAAAAGCACTTTAAACATGTTGATCTATTCGGGAGTGCAAAGATGATATCCTAGTGATTTGAGCCCAAATTATCTAACACAGGGATGCAGATCTTTCCTCATTTCATTTTTTACAAGTGAAAATGAAAAACTTCAAACGTTTTCTCCTTACTGGGTGTGATTACAAGGATTTTTTTTGTAGTGCACGATTTCTTTGCATAAAATTTGTAGAAGAGAAAGAAAGAGAGGGAGAGGAAGAGAGAGAGTGTGTGTAAAATGTGTTTATTTTAAAATCTGTATATTTTAAATGTAATCTCACCTGCAAACCTTGAGGATTTGCTTCTTAAATTTTTTTTTGCTTTATACCCTTTGGTCTGCCCCCCAGCCTCTGTAATGCCAAGGAACAATAACAATATTATAAATTCCTTTTGCAGCTAATAGGAGAGAAAAAGATAGACATTATACATTTATAGTGCAAAACAATGTACAGCCTAATGTTGACATCTCAGAGTATTCTGCTTTCTTACCAGCGTAATCCCCCCATGGTGGTGAATGATCTGTTTGAAGACATCAAAGATGGAATAGTATTGATTGCCCTTTTGGAAGTTCTCTCAGGACAGAAGCTGGTAATTATTTTCCTATCAAAAGTACCTTATTAATTTGTATGACTAGAAATTATTTATCTTTTTAATATTATTAGTGTGTTTTAATTAAAATACTTTATGCTAATGAAGTTCCACTAAAGTCTTTTATAGAATATTCAAATACAAGATGTGAAGGATTTTGTTAAATTAAAGTGCTCATATCTCTCTAATACATAATATGTACAGTGGGGTCTCTACTTAAGAACTTAATCCGTATTGGAAGGTGGTTCTCAAGTGGAAAAGTTCTTATGTAGAATCGGCATTTCCCATAGGAATGCATTGAAAACCATTTAATCTGTATCTGCTCTTTTCCGTCCATAGAAACTAATGGGCAGCTGCTATTCCGCCTTCTACCACTAGAGGGGGATATTTTTTCTTTTTTTTCCCCCTTAGGTCAGAAGTGTTAAAAGCACTTCTGACGAAGCTAATTTTGAAGCAATGGACTGAAAAGCAATTAATCTGTTCTGGCTGTTTTTTTGTTATGTAGAGGTGCGTTCGTACATTGAAGCATTAGTTCCCATAGGAACTAATGCAAAGCTGGTTAATACGTACTCTACCACTAGGGGGAGAACTTTTTTTAACCTAAGATGACCTAAGGTTAAAAAAAGAGCAAGAAAGTTTTTTTTTCCTGTTCTTATCTTGGATTTTTGTTCTCAAGTAGAAGCAAAATCTAGCAAATGGAGCTGTTCTTAAGTGGAATTGTTCTTAAGTAGGGACGTTCTTAAGTAGAGACCCCACTGTAGTGCATAGTACATTGTGTTGGTTGTGCTATGGTTACATTCATATCTTTTTTCCCCCTGCATTGCTGCAGAATCAGGAAATGTATCTAAATGTCCAGTAGAAGTACTAAGAATCTGGCATACAATTTAAAAAAGTAAAATAAAATGAGGATCAAAAGTTAAAGTAGACAAGACACACATTAGTTATAGAACACCGTGACTTCCTGAACATGTGGTACTAATCCAGTGGTTCTCCAGTATGTGTTCCCTGGTATTCTAGGACTACAACTTCCCACAATCCTGCCAGCAGAGCTAGTGGTGAAGGCTTTAGTGGTCAAGTTTTAGTCCAAAAATATTTGCTGACCCAAGGTTTGGAAGCCTGTTGAAATAATAACATTGTTCTCTTGTTAGACTGAAGCTTTTCTTTGAATTACAGTACTGGGTCCATGGAACATCTCCAGATTATAACTATTATTCAAACTGGCATTCCTGGCTGTTGAATAGAAGATTTTGAAAGAAGGGCAATATTTAGATTGCTGAAGTATTTTTGAAAAAACAAATTCCAAGTGAGGTGTCTCTGGGGAATGGAGTAGAACTAAGAAAGATTCATCACAAGCAGGTTCACTGAGCAGACGATACCATACTCCAAAGAACAGAAATCTATTTCGGCACTCAGACAAGTCAGGGAGCAGCAAATCAGAGCAATTTAGGGTTTACGAGCAGGCATTTGCTGCATAAAATGTGCAGTGTGAGTGGAGGTACGTAGTAGCAATTCAGTAGGGAGCACTTTTGTCCCACATAAAAAGCTCTTAACATCTGACATAGGTCTAGAACTGCCCACAAGTACGTTGTGTTGAAATATTTGCGGGGAATCAAATGTGTCTGAGGCAGTGGCATGTGACCCTTAAGATGATTCCTCAAGCAATTTTTTTTTATCTCCAGTGCACTTAGGTATGAGATTCATTAAATCTATTATCTGCTATTATTGACACAGTTTTTGCTTAAAATGTGTGAGGAGCCTTTCAAATAAATTAAGCTGTAGTTTTTGATATAATTAACCTGGAAGCTATTTATTGATGCATCTTAGAATGTTCTGAGTGCAGCTTGCTTCTCAGTGCTTAACTGAACATATGAGATGCTTTGGTTCTTACAAAATTAGACCTTTAAGCTTATCTACTATTTTGATAAGAAAATGCTCCCTCTTGTGGCAGAATTGTAAATACAGTGTTGTGATTATAGGTTAAAAACAAAATAAAAGATTTTTTTAAAGAGAAAATAAAATAAAATGACAAATAAAAGACAAAAACTGTGACGGTACTTGAAAGACTAATTTTAGGTACTGTATAACACTAACTCACAGTGTTGTGTGTTTCCTGAGCACTGAGCAACAGAAGCGGATTATTTGGATAGAAGTGAAATTATTCTAGAGACCTAAGGAATGAAGTTAAATATGTCTGTTCTGCATTGCATCTAGAACCAGTTCTAGTTTTTTCATGATGGTCTGGAATTATTCAACTGCAAAGACTCTCTGTCAATAACATATTTGAGGCTGGCCACTTGATTGTTCTGAAAAGATAAATGTCTGCATAGCTTATAGTAATTAGGTCATACCTAGCATATGAATTATTGGAAGAAGATATTTAAGTCGATCTTGTTGTTTCAGTACATCTAATTATAAAGAAGGATTAAAGAAAGAGATTTAACTTTTAAATCAGGGTGTTTCAGGTTTCATGTGTGTTCAGATTGTCATTATGTTTTAAAGTTGTTTTATTGTCCTTGTGGTTTGTACTTTTTTAAAGCCATGTGAACAGGGACGAAAACTGAAAAGAATTCATGGAGTCGCCAACATTGGCACAGCCCTTAAGTTCTTAGAAGGACGGCGGGTAAGTTCAACAGGGTGACAATCTAGCATTTCATCTTTTTAATGTATTGTTGTGCACGCAAATGTACACACACACACACACACACACACACACACACACACACAATCTCTGGCACTCCAGAGTTAATCTTTACTCCATTTGAAGGCACTAGGAAGAAACAGAAAGGAACAAGAATGTTGGTTAAGAAATTGGAAACCAGGCATATACCATGGGCAGCAATCAGTCTGCACAATGGCACATTCACAAACATTATCATAACAGATATCAGTAATTGTCATATAACAGGAAATACTTTGTTGCCACCATTTCCCCATAGCACCTCATGTATGTTCTAGATATGATCATATATACAATGTTGCTATGCAGTCCTTGTATATAAACAGCACATCTATAGTAATAAAAAATGTCTGTTCATTTAAAGTATGTACTTTGTAGTATGTGTATATATTTTCTTGCTTTCTTCTTGTGCTGTATGTAAAGATGTTAGTGTTCTTTGTACTGTGATATGTCCTAGTAATATCTGTTGGTTTCCTTTAAAGTTACGCACTTTTATTTTGCAGTTGTCTCCTACTCTCTTCTCTTTATCCTGATAGTTACTCACATAAAGCAATTTAAATAGGGTTCTTTTTTGTTTTTGTTTTTCATGCTAGTCCGTATACAGAGGATCACCGGTTCGTACAATGCTTTTATGAAACATTCAGTCATATAGTAATAGATTTAAATGAAGCAAAATAGTTCTGTTAATATTATTATTAAATACAGTACTAAATATTTTATTGCAGGAGTACAAACTAAATGTTTTCCTGACATAGTAATTTACAGAAAGTATAGGCATAAAATATATAAACGCAGTACACTCCAAGACCATCTTAATAAATAAACATAATACCAATGCAAATAATCATTCAGACATTTTCTTCCCACCCACTTGCCCCTATCTCCAGCATGATTTCTTTTTTTAAAAAAATGAATGTTGGTCAAAAAATCATGTCATGAACATTTCAGTCATTCACATCCAGATTTGTAGAAAAGAAATACCCTTTGAAAAGAATTTCAAAGGAAGAGACATTTCTGAGAAATTCTCATAAATGAGGTCTAAGGTTCTTACCTTACTTAGGAGGTGGTAGAAGAATGTGCTTATAAGAAATGCTGGAATAGCTCAGTGGTTTAAGTGGGAGTTTGATTCCCCTGTGCCTCCTTGACAGGGGTTGGACTTGATGATCTTGATGATCCATACAGCCCCTTCCGGCTCTGCAGTTCTGTTGTTGTTGTTGTTGTTATCATCATCGTCGTCGTCGTCATCATCATCATCATCATCATCATCATCATCATCATCATCATCATCATCATCATCATCATCATCATCATCATCAAAAAACACTGAGTAGTATTATATAACAGATACAAGTTTTAACCAAAAGCCTAGTATCTGTTAAATATCAGTGCAGCATGTTTGCGGTTTCTAATATTGCCAATTTTTTTGTAGTTCTAATGGTGTGATTTCTGAGATCTGCAACTGCTTATAGTACTGTGTGAATGATGATGATGATGATGATGATGATGATGAGCCTAGCAACAGGCCACACATTTCTGATAATAAAAGATCATCAAAAGGTTAATGAACCCAGTAATTATCATGCAATTACATGCCTTCCAACAATGCCTGGTGTTTTTGAATAATAATAATAATCCTTATCTCTCAATGTATAGTAATCTGAATGGCAGCCTCCCTTCTAGTTTTCCACATTTCTACATTTCAGTTAAATAGTGAAGAATGTCATAAGATCATGAATTCCACATTAAAAGGCTTTTCAGGTTGGAGTGGGGCCACCAGGTAATGCGTGGAATGATGAAGAGGTGGCTAATACGAAGGAAAATCAAATGCAGCAGTTGCAGTCACCTTGCAATATTATGATATTCTAAAGGCCATGAAAACGAGGCGGAAAAATGGAAGTCTCTCTAATGGTGAAATAAACTCTGAGAAAATGAAAGGATGAATTAAGGCTTAAACCATAATTTTACGGGAATTGAGCACAACACTGCCCTTCCATATGCCTGCTATAGGAAAAGAAGTTATTATATGGAGTTCCATGGTAGAGAGAAAATGTTTCTGTAAGAACCTGTCCAAAATATAACAGGTGAGAAAACTGGTAAAGGTGTTGAACCTTGAGGAATTACAGCTAGTGCTAAATCAAAAATTGTCAGAATACATCGTTCTGAAAAACATTAGAGATTTTTGTTTTCCTACTCGTCTTGAGAAAAGAACTCTGCTTTGTAGAATTATTTCCAAAACCAATCTCTCTCTTTCCCGCCCCCTTTTTGGGTGTGGTTGTGGCACTCTCTCTGCTACCACCACAACATTCTCCTACAGTGGCACTAGGTAGAAGGAGTTGTGGACGAAGCAAAGCGGTAACCAAGCTTCTAGCACACTAGTGGTGGTTGCTGCTTGAGCAGCAGTGATTTGTTTAAAAATTGTCTCTTGGTGAGGGAAGAAAATAAACCTGGGATTCTTAACTGGGAGAAATTCAAAGAACTTGCCCCACCAATTTTATCTGCCCACAAACAGATGGATAATTTCAAAAGGTCTTTTGTGCACATCTATAATAAAAATGAGATGGTTGGACAATGTCATTGAAGCTACCAGAATGAATTTGACACAACTCCGGGAGGCAGTGGAAGACAGGAGGGCCTGGCGTGCTCTAGTCCATGGGGTCACGAAGAGTCGGACATGACTAAACGACGACGATAATAAAAATTAAACAAAACATGCTGCTCTTAGGGATTATGGTTGTGCCAGCGTGAAATTTCATTGACTATCATCTACTGAAGAAGGAATACAGAAATAGCAGGAGTACAAGGGCTTATATGTTGATCTGTCCAGTTTATTTCTTTGTTACATTTATTATCCTATGTTTCCTTCAGGGGATTCCAGGTGGTGTCTGCAGCTATCCTCTCCCCCACTTAATCTTTAAAATAATCCTATGAGGCAGATCAGACTAAGAATGTGTAACTGGCCCCAGGTCACCCAGTGAATTCCACGGCCAAGTAGAGATTTAAACCCAGGTCTCTTGTGTCCTGGCCTAACATTCTAACCCTGTATCGCAGTGGCTTGATATTGCTAGAAATGGTGTGTGCAGGGTGTCCACAACACAGGAACTTCTATTCTCTCTTGGTTTGCTACTCCCATGTCCATTTTATCTAGGAAAATACTAAAGTTTTTTTTTAAATATATTGTCTCCTCTCACTCCCTGGGACAACTGAACACATGGTCTACATTTAGAAGTATTAAATTTCACAAGCATACTTCCCCAAAAATCTTCATTTCTATACACATTTTTTTCTTGCTGTGACTTTCTGCTGTCTCTGATAACTATGTTCTTCCCTCCCACCTATAAACAGATTAAGCTTGTCAACATTAATTCAACTGATATTGCTGATGGTAGACCTTCCATTGTGCTTGGGTTGATGTGGACTATAATTCTATACTTTCAGGTAAGATTTTGCCCTCTTTTTAAAATGAACGAAACATTCAGTAATCATATTAATGTGTTGCTGTGATAGAACTGCAAGTATATTATGAAACCTAAGGGATCTGCTAGCAAGTTTGGAGTGGAGTGGCAAAGAATTTCTTTTGATCCAGATTTTTAAGTGCACTGATGCAATCCACACTTTCTGGACTAATAAGAAGACTAATCTCGGACTGTGTATTGACCTTTTTGGTAAGGATCTTAAAGGTTGCATATAAAGTGGGTGTATTAGAGAAAGTTGAATAGACAAGTGTGCATATCAGTGAACATTGAATACAAAAAGAGGGAAAACTGCATAACGATGTGTAGAAGTAGCATACAAAATGGATTGTTAGGGAAAGTGACATAAAAATGATAACGAATTTTTCTGCAAAATTTTCTCTTAAAATGTTCATCAGCTGGTGTGAAAGTTGGATGGAATGAATGGTCTAGTGAAAAAATACAAAATAGGTATAGACTGGAAATAGACATTCCTCATCCTTGCCTCTTCCCAAAACCTCATTTTGGAAAATGCCATAGCTACTTTTGTAATAATGATGGGAAATATAATGCACACTTACAATCCTTTTGTTCTTTATGCATGGACTTTTAGATGAGATTATGCTAAAGAGAGACTCTTCTTATTCAGATAATTATGAAAATAATGGAAGGGCTGTGTACTATGAAGAACAACCATCCCCACACAGAGTATTTGTTGTAATATGCCTTCCTTTTCATCAAATTGTAGTATTTTTAAAACACCTAATTCTGGTTATTCCACACATTCTTGAGGTGGATTTTTTTTTAGTTTAATACTCAAACACCTGTAACTTGTATGTGCATGTACTGATACAGTTCTCACTAAAGCAAGGGTAGGGATCATTCAGGGGTCAGGGCAGAAATGGACAGCTTTTGAGGGTCCAAGTATCATTTTTTTCCCTCTCATGGACCTGACATGACAACTCTCCCCATGCCAAAAAGAGAGAGATTTTCTTAGCCCATAACACCCAGGGAAGCCTCTGAGGTGGATGTGATTTGCCAGTTAAAGGATATACCCCACCTGGCCTTCTATTTTATTAAAAATATTATTGCAGGCTTAATGGCCCAGGGGAGTCAGAAATAGTCTTTAAATGGCAAATCACTCTCCCCCAAGCTTCTGGATGTTGTGCCATTTTTCTGCCCTCACCCCATGAATCATACTTCTCTGATCCATAAACCAGGCAGTTTTGGGTATGGGAAGTGCAGCAACGGAAATGGGACACAGGCATAAGCTGTGTGTTGTCCACCCTTTAATAATGCAAAAAGTATGAAAATTGGAAGGATCTGCAGGAGTAGTAAAAAGCCTGTAACTTGTGCTTCCTATGCAGGAGCAACAATTCCCATAGGAAGCTTTCCCAGATCTTGCTAAACTGGCCTCTGTTTTGAAGTTGCAAGAATGTGATTGACACTTCCAACCTTTGTTGGTTTCAATTACTCAGTTCTTTTACAATAACTAAATATTTGTTGAATGATATAATCTTACTATGATGGATTCTACATATGGATGGCTACATCCATAAAATTACTCCAGATATAAGTCCAGTTCATGACCCTGTAGTTGCACAAAAGGCAGTGCCACTTCTATGAAGTACTTGGTGTGTTAATTGGAAGAGGTTGTAGGAAGAGGTTGATATGAATCCATATTTTCATGATACTGGTAACTTACAGATTTGCTGCCACTGTCATAGAAACTTGAGCAACCATTTGCTTGTTATGATGCTGATTTATCCAAATGGCACCTTCTTACTAAAAGTACTACTCTGTAAGTGGGCAAACCATGGCTAACTCTCTTATGTGGGCAATACTGGTAAGTGTGGGTCTGCCCTGCATTGTTCGGGGCATACCATCTTAGAAAATGGGGTTTCGATATGAGGTCATTAGACTTCATCAGCAATTTTTGGTGCTTTTTCATAACAGCCACCAACTGAACTATAATTTTTGTTGCTATATTAGAGAAGTTATGCATATGTTATATATACATTTTTACCCCATTATACTTAACTGAATTTATTTCATATACAGATTGAGGAACTTACAAGCAACCTTCCACAGCTGCAGTCACTCTCCAGTAGTACCTCATCTGTGGACAGTGTCGTCAGTTCAGAGACTGCCAGTCCACCATCCAAGAGGAAGGTGGTAACTAAAGTCCATGGGAATGCAAAGAAGGCTTTACTAAAATGGGTGCAGTACACAGCAGCAAAGTAAGCAAGCAGTGAACAAAATAATACAATAGTGAGATAGTGACGCAAAAGCATAATTCAAGTGAGAAAAGTATATTGCTGATCTATTAGCCCAGCCTCTCAAATCCTTACAATTTATGTACTAAAAATCAGTACTGTGGGTTTACTCTTGAATTTTAGGTACTGACTTTGTTCTTGACTTTTCTTAAACAGAGGAAGATGGAAGAAAAAGGTGGGGGGGGAGGATTGCAGTAAATTAAAAATGTTTCAGCTGTTGAAGCCATCTAACATCTGTAAAAAACATATGAAACCTAAAGATGCTGTTAACCCATTTGTGGCTATTTTGAATACCTCACCAAATTGGAATGACCTAGAATGCAGTTGCCTGGGATCATAACAGAGCTGATGCACTATTTCTAATAATTTTGGATAGATAACAGCTAAAACCTAATGGATGGCTCATGGTCTGAGAAAGTGGGATACCTAACCCAACATTTTGCGGGAAAATGACCTCCTGCTTGAACCATAGGCTAAGGAAATGCCTGAGGAATTGACTGGCTTCATTTTGCATAGCTTTGTTAGAGCAGAATGTAGGTAGTTATATGTTGCTTGCTGTCCAAGGCTTCCAAACTAGAGTTCCGATTCTGCCCTGTGGAAGACATATGAGGAGGAAATACAGACTCATTAGGAGGCCTTAATCTCTTTATTTGTTCTCCCAACCTGTATATGTGTCTTTTTGCCCTTCTTGAAGTCAGAAGATGGGTCCCCAGTCATATCTCCACTTTCTTTCTCATGAGTTGAAGAATCAGACAAGTGGCCTTTTAAAAAACATAATTAACTAAATGTAACCCCAGATATGGGGGCTATTGCAGTACAAGCTTTGCCAACCTACATAGAGCTTCATATGGCCTCAGCATAAGGCAGCATGTATCCATGGTGATGTTCTTAGTACCCACAGGGAAACGTGTCTTGACTTATGTTAAAGCAGGCCTTGCTTTGACTTGGCCTGGCCTCCCCTTAATGCTGATTGGTTCAATCTGGGTGCAAGAGAAGACTCTTCTTGATCTGCCTCCATTTTTCCTGTGGGGCCCCAAGTGCCAGCAGAACAGGATTTATGCAGATCCCTTAACATATGACTGTTTTGCATAATCAGTGTGAAATTACATATTATTACATATTACAAATTATTAAATAAATAAGCAGTCAGGAACAGTATGAAATTGAATGGAAACAGGATATCAGTTAGCAGTGTCATGTTTGAATGCCATACTGGGATGAGTGAACGGACACCTTGTGTATATTATATAAAATAATATTTTAATTGTTTGGGACAATTACAGCACCCTGACTTTCGTAACGATGTAGTTTTTTTCTAAATAAAGTTCACTAGAAGTTATCATTCAGAGGCAGAACTAAGAAGTCTCCTGGGTTGTGTATTTGGTGTCATACAAAGTGAGAGTTTGTAAGAATGAGGGCTGAATTTAAAATATAATGGCTTTTATATAATGTTATATGTTGAGAAGCAGCAGATATAATTAATTTGCTCTTCGCAGATATGGTATAAAACAGTGGTTCTTAACCTTGGGTTACTCAGGTGTTTTTGAACTGCAACTCCCAGAAACCCCAGCCAGCACAGATGGTGGTGAAGGCTTCTGGGAGTTGCAGTCCAAAAACACCTGAGTAACCCAAGGTTAAGAACCAGTGGTATAAAATATGGCTTTAAACTGGGTTTATAAAGGAAGTGAAAACTAAACTGTGAGGTCTGAACAGTTTGTTACAAAGTCATTTGTTATCATTCAGGCAAGCTGGAATTGAAGTCAGGGATTTTGGACAAAGCTGGAGGAGTGGCATTGCCTTTCATTCAGTTATTCATGCTATTCGTCCCGAACTAGTGGATTTGGAGAGGGTGAAAACGAGATCTAACAGGGAAAATCTGGAAGAGGCTTTTAGAATTGCAGAATCTGAACTAGGAATCCCAAGACTCCTTGATCCTGAAGGTAGTGTAAGATATTATGTAAATGTAAACATTTTTGAAGTATAGTTTTGTTCCCACAGATTGTTTCCATTTTCAGATGTCGCTACCCCTCCCCCTCCCTCCCTTCTTGTCTGTCTTTCATTTATTCATTGATTCCCTGTCTTTTTCAAAGAGGTGTTTTTTGTTGTTATTTTTAAATGTACTTTATTCATCAAGGACAATAATGGCCCCAAGGTTTTGAACAATTGATATGTCATGTTAATTTTCTCTCTTCCTCATTGTTTTAGACGTGGATGTGTCTAAGCCGGATGAAAAATCCGTGATGACCTATGTAGCCCAGTTCCTGAAACACTACCCAGATCCTCATAATGCAGCAAATGATGCACAGGAGACAGATGTATGTTGTTTGTTATAGTTTACATAGACACTATTGTGCCCAATGGGCATCTTGTTCCTTTGCTTTTTAAAACACTGCAAAGTTAAAAAGCCACCAAGGATAATTTGACTTAATGGGCTGTCTGTTGTATTATTATTTTTTAAAATTGTGAGTTAGAGATTGCTATGGTGATAGAGAGATAAGGACCTTGGATTTGTGGACGAAGTACATGAACTTTTTGACTTGGTTTCATGGAGTAGAGTGTGATAAATGTTTTCCATGCCCTTGCTCCTGCCTATTTTGCTTTCCTACAAACTGTATTCAGCTCATCCTTTGTATTCAGAAATAAGGCAGTCAAGTTCCATGAGACTTAAGTTCAAGAAGTGTATCTGGGACTTCAGCTTAAAGAAAATATAACCACTGAACACAGAATTGATTATTTTTCAAATTGTCAAGACCAAAAGGTTACAAAATCATCTGTCCTGGCTAATCTTCTTGGATTGGCGTATCTAGAAAACATGTTTCCTGAAAACAGTGTGTTTTCTCCTCCACAAGCTGACCTAACAGTACCAATTCAATCATCAAGTAATCTTTTATTTGGCTTTTAATCCTGGTCATACTGTTTTCTAGTTGGCAAGGGCTAAAAATGCTACTAGTAAGGAAATCTGTTCAACTTCTCAGAAGCAGCAGGACAGAGAAGCTTCATCTGGTGCTTTCAGCATATAATTCACACATTGTTAACACTGACTACAATGCATTTATTGTAAATGACGAACAGAATCTTTTTTAACAATACCTGCCTATATTTGAATATTATTATCTCTTTAGAATTTAGGAATGTTTGTATTAAAATAGCAAAACAACATTGTTGTTTATGTCTGGATAGTTCAATGTTTCAGCCAGAAAATCAGTTCATAAACAGGCTTCCAGTAAGAGCAGTTGCTGCAGGAGTTCTTTTCAGGAACAATTGGACATTGATTTGGCAAGAGATATAAGTTTGAAGCTGTTGCTAGAGTGGTGCAAATGTAGAGTGAATCATGATGACCAAACACACAGGAGGCAAACAGCATCCCTGTATGGACCTGCCTTTTCCAGTATTGAAGCACAAATATTTTTCTGTAGAAATATATGCAATTTCCCATGTGGAGAGGCGTGGATTGCAGAAGGAGGGCTACAGTGGAGGACACAGAACTATAAAATGCAAGACACATTCTGCCTCCAAACATACCCAGTGAAAATGCAAATGTATTTTTGGAATAATGTATCCATATTGATTCATTAATGGTCAATATGTCTGAACAGAGAGCTATGACTCTGACCAGAGTGTCAAATCTGTGTCATTTTAGCATGCTGTCCTCTCCAAATTACTTCCCTTTCAGGATTTCAGCTTATTTCTTTATTGCTGACACCAATCATCATGCAGTTTTTGTTTATGTTTCAGGCTGTGCTCACCTGTGACACTGCATTTCTGTGTTTTCTATGATGTCTTCCTTCAACTGCAGATTTATGATGTCTTTTAAAATAGTTTAGTTGCATGTGTAACTAAATCATATGCACAGATGTGAGCTGTTTTCTCTTTTAGCTGAAACAGTGGTTGGTGATGTGGTTGGTGATGTGCAATCTTCTCTCTACAGTCATCCATTCACTGTCATCCTATACATACAAATATACACACACAAACACATACATATGTATTCACCAGAAGTCTTCCAGGAAAAGGTATATGGTTTTTTTTCACAAGTCAGCCTGCTTTGTAAACACAATCCCTTTTTCCATTCATTCATCCTTCCTGCCTGCATGCCCTCTGTCCTTTCTTGGAAAGAAACAGTTAAGTGACGATAGGTGAGCTAACCAGAGACACGAGTGCTATGTGCAACTGATATAGATTTGGAAAAAGTGGAAAACAGGAAGGCTGCTGTGCTGAGGGCTCCATGGCTCTCTTGTTCTTCCCTTCTCTGCTGTTTCCTGTTCCTTGTTTACTTGGTATTAGAAAAGGCACACTCCATGCTGACCAGTGCTTGCACAAAAAACAGAACTACCAATCTGCCATCTGGCTCTTTTCTGTAAGCATTTAAAAGCACCACTACTCTATTGAGCACAGATATGTAGAAGTGACAAAGTGCTGGAGATAAATAAAAACATCACCCTATCAAAATAAGCCTGCATCTCCTTATGTTTAGGAATGTAAGAAATTCTTATTTTATGTGTTGTTTGTAACATACAGTACTGTATGCAAAGCTTGGGAAAAATAATGCAGAGTAGAGGATCCTGAGATTTGGTCAGCATATTACTTTTTCCATACATTATCTGTACTCCTTGGTTTTTTTAATTTTTTTAATAAAGCTAATATATACAGCTGTGTTTTTAGAAAAACAAGCTATGCATATGATAGTTTTTCCAAAACCTTCTTCATATTAATGGTACAGAAAATGGTGACACAGTACATTGTGCTACGCATACGTGATGTGCCCCTCACATGTCCCCAGGTTGTTTCACTAGCCTGAGGCCCACAATATGTTCTCTCCTTTCTGCAGCCACCAGTAGACCTCTGTCAACACCCTTTAATTAGAAAGACTGAGGTCCAAGCTGAGTATAAAGTTGAACAACACAGGTTTATTGATTCCAGTTTGCTTAAACAGGTTCTTCACAAACTTCAATGTATTAATTAGATTAATAATAACTCGTTTCACTCTTAACTCTTTTAACTCTCTATAAGTTACACATGGTTAACTCCTAACTCTGCCACACTCTCTAACTACCACAGACTAACTTCTACTTCAGACTCTCATCTCTCACTCTCACTGAATGAACTCCTCCAGACTCTGACTCACCTCTCCCTTCTAGTTTCTCTGGCTCCACCTCCCAACAGCTCTCATTGGTATATGCAAATAACCTACTAGATGAGCCAAAGCAGGGTGATCGCCACAGCATATATGCCCAGAAACCTGGAAAAGCTTTATTTTTAACTCTAACCATAGCCAAGTAGGAAAATTGTCCAAAAACGGCTCTATTGGATAACTAATGAAAGAGTATGTAACAAAGAGAAACCAAGGCAGATGTCAGTAGAGAAATATCCTGTGTTCAGCATCGTGCATTTCTTTATTGCTAATGTGGCAAAATATCTACAGTATGTTTCAGTTGTAGGCTAATTAAGAAAGCTCTTTGATGTCCTCCTACAAGGCCAAGGTTTAAATTTTGCTAGATAACCAGAAGTGGCAATGGAGCATGACTCAATTTACCAGGAGTGTAAAAAGCAAAGCATACCTTTCTGCACAGTTATATCAGTTTGATATCACTGTCATAGATTCCATTTTAGAGAATCCTGTGGTTTATAGTTTGTTGAAGTACTGAGAATTCTTTGCAAGAAAGCTGTAGTGATGTAGTTCATTTTTGGGTACTCTGGTGTCTCTAACATAGATTTATGGGTCCTTAACCAAACTACAAGTCCCAGAATGATCTAGGACTCTTCTAAGTCCTTCACCAGACTATAAATACCGGATTCCCTATGATGAAGCCATAAGCAATTAAACTGATATCAAACTGTTGTAATGCTGTAGCATAGATATACTCCCACTGCTGCATTTTGCAGTGATTACAGAAACAGCTTCAAATGGCTGTGATTGTATGACTGGGGTACATTTGTTATATTATTTTCTACCACAGATATTTATTTATTTATTTATTTTATTTATTTAACCTATATGCCGCCCACACTACCCGAAGGTCTCTATGGGTACTATTTTAATTTCATGTTTTCATACTATTGTTTTCCATTATATTAACTAGCAGGACATTCAGTTCCATACAGAACAGTTAATCAGTCAACAGAAATGTTGCTATGTGCCATCAAGTTGCATCCAACTATACAGAAACGATTACAATAAAAGAGGCGAGAGGGTGTGTTAAAAATCTTATGTAATTCTATTAAATTGTACGAGTAGTCTAGCAATGTGAAATCTCACGGTATAGGGGTGTTGGGTCCCTGTAGAATGTTTTGTCTGGATTAACACTGATATGTGACAGGTGACAGGTAGCTTTGAACATAGGGACAAAACAAGGCTCTTTAAACAAGACCATTTCTTCTTTCCATAAGTAGTATCACACTGGGATGAGAAAGGAGGAAAGGGTAATTGCTACTAGGAGCATTCACTGTACCCAGATCTTGATTAGAGAAAATAGCAGCACTTCCTTAAAGATGCTTCTTTCTCTGAGAACTTTCAGTCTACTTCCCTATGTCTTGTGATTTCCAAGGGGCAAGTCCACAGTTGAGGTTATAGCTGAGGTAACTGATAGTGTCTGACCAACAAGAATCTGGGACCAAAAATGTCCCTCATACAAGTTTCTAACACTCTATGGTCTGAATAGGAAATTGTACCATCATATTTTTCTGCAGTTGCTTTGCATTAGAGAGTATGTGTGCAAACTGAGCAGAGTAAATATTTCCAGATGATGGTCATGTAAGGGATGAATCATAAGACAGGAATAGAGATGGAAAGAATGAGATGGAAAGAAAGCTCTAAATCTCAAAATTAATAAGCTCCTTTGTACCTACATTTCTCAATGCACTTCTCTTTCTTTGCTGTTCTTTATTTTTTATTTCTTTTATTGCTCCTCTCTCCCCTTCTGCTATCCATTTTTCCTCATATTGCTAGGTACCACGTCAAGCAATTTCATCTTTTGCTATTTCTAAACCTAAATACAAGGTAAGGGTTAGAAATACGATGGATTAAAATTTACTCACTGGTTGTTATTGCTACATATTAACCATTTCATCAAATCAAATAATCCATTTTTATATGTCATGTTTGTTTTTGATGCAATATGTCACTCCAGATATGTGTATGGAAGAGAGGCCTGTTTGTATTTAATGATACACTTTACCTGCTGGCTAACACTTATGATACCAAATATAATAGCTCAAATAATGACTCAACTCTGTTTAAAGTAAGCAAGAACTGCCATATCACCCTGGACACACCCAGGGTGATGGGAAAACCAGCAGAAAATGTGAGGAATCGACAAGTAGAACTTGTAAAGAATTTTGCCTGAAGTGCTGAACAGCTGTAACCTGTCAGGCAATACTGAGCTAAATGGGTCAATTCTATCTGACTCAGTATAAGATGCTGAGGCATGTTCCTAAAGGGACCCCTACAAAGGATGTATTAAATACTGTAGTTCAAATGAATCGCTATCAACTAATTTGTTAACCAAAACCAAATGTCCAGTACTGTGCAACCGGTCTTTGCCCAACAGCAGAAAGGACTTTCACATCCTTGGCTTATGGTCTGATCAGGATAGTACATTGCCTTAAATGTTTGGGGTGGCCCCTTTCAGTGACCTTACTTACTGAGAGGTGATCAATGGTCTACTATTACTTAGACTGCTCCTCACATACTCCTCAGGCAGTCACAGGCACCTCCCCAAGAAATTCAGCCAAGTATTTTGAGTTTACCCCTTCTATGCTGCCTCAGCCAGAGCCTCCCAGGCCTAAGCTCATATTTTTATGATTATTATTCAGCTATTTAGTGAAAAGATTTTTCCATTTTAGTTAACTACTTTGTTCCTTTTGGTAAATGTTCCAGATCCATGGGAGTGGGGGAGTTGTGCATCTTCAGTTTCCACAAATTACTTCTGCCACTAAAGGCATTTCAGCAGCTGGGATTTTTGGAAATCAATGACTCCCTCCCCCAAAGGCCTCACAGCCCTCATCAGCTTCTGCTGGTGGGGGAGGCACTTGGAAATGTTTTATTTAAAAAAACAACAACAGCTGCATCCAATGTTATCTTCAGCCTTAATGAGGCATTATTTATGGCAATAGGATTTCAGGCATTGCTTTTTTACATTTCCAACTTAACAGCCCACTTTTATTTCATTTAGTTTGGGACTGATTCACAGCTTAGTGAAACAAATAAATGGCAATACTGAAATATCTAAACCAAACCAAAAATAAAACAATGTCACATTTAAATTTACTGCAGAGCTAAGTTAGTCTTTAAGTATAGGGATGGTGATCTAGCTTCTTGATCCATCTTTTTGCCCATATCTGCAGATATTTTGCTGCCTGAGGCAAAACAGGAAATAGAAACTACGGAAAGTACATAATGCCCCAGTTATTTTGGATCATGAAACAGACAATCCTATAAGCACTTTGCCCATGCTGTGACAGGAAAAAAGTAGAGTAATACAGAGTAAAACGTATAGTTTGTCACTTCATGGCACTCAAATGCCTGGGGGAGAAAAAACACCTCAGTTTTCCTAATTGTAGTGGGGGGAAACTTAAGTTATACCTTCAGAAATGGGAAGACTGGAAGTCTTTTCCATGTAGTAAATCATCTGTCATGTTGCATTTCCACATGTAGCTGCCTCATGCTGAGCAAGGCTGGCCATCTGTCTGGAATCCAGGGCCATTTCAAGACAGTAAGAGGCCCTTCTCCACAACAACATTTTGTTAGGTGATTTTGTGTGAGGCTCTCTTTATATGTGGGGCCTGAGGCAACAGGCCCCTGTGTGCCCCTTTTTAAAGAAAAATACCTCCCTATGATTATATTGTCTCTTTGATTTAGAATAAATAAGATAAACATTCAAATACAACACAAGTGTCTGTATATTTTGCACTCCACCGCTAATGAAGGCTTCAGGGCTAAAATATGAACCAGTGGATTAGCACAGGTGGAACACAATGTCACACCACATTCTGTGGATTCACAGATGCTTCTGCCATTGAATTACTCAAAATGTGCACTAGGGTACTGGCCAGCTGTTATCCATGTTTTCAGGGCAGGATTCCACACCAGCCATTTAGCTTCCGAAACAGAGAAGTCTGTGTTGCAACAACTGATGTGTAGAGAGAAACAGACTTTGCAGTTAGAATGGTTCAAAGTCTGTTTTTGACTCTCATCCAGATTACATCTGGAAAGAAGGCCCTAAAGAAATGAGTCCAAACTATGTATACACTAAAAAAATGAACAGGTCTTGTCATAATAGCTTCTTCTATTGTTAACATTTACAATTAAACAAAGTGTAGTTTTTAAAATCTCCTTTTCCTGTTGCAGAAAGAAGACAGACTAATGCTAAGAGATTTGAAAATTTGGGTAGAACAGTTTGAAAGAGATTTGACAAGGGCACAAATAATGGAAGCAAGTTTGCAAGAGAAATACCAGGTAATACCACATTTTTTGGTTATTTGAAGGAAAAGTGGTAGATTTGTAAATGTTTGAGTTAAGTGTTGGATTTTTGTGTTTCTATCTTTCTCAAAACTAAAAAAGGCATAAATTTAACTATATTTTCCGTTTAAAAACATTAAAAGCCAAACTCTACTAGAAATCTGGTGGAAAACAATGGAAGACAGATTGTTCTAGGTGGTGGCCCTGCAACTAAGGAATGTTTAGTCAAAGAGGAGTCTTGTTTTTAGGATGTTAAAAATTCTAAGAGCCAGATCAAGATCTTCTGATATCCTAGTACTTCTAAGAACTTAATTTCATTCCTTGCCATTTGTTTTTGATTCTTTTTCCAGCCATCACTCTCACACTCTTGTCACTGTTGTTGCATTTTACAGTGTTACGAAGATAGGTGTCTGACAGACTTTTTATCTGTGTTGATTTTCACATGTCTTTGGATTTAATTGTATCTTTCTGTTTGCACTTAATTGTATTTCTTTATGTGTAAAGCTTGAACAGATTTTGTCACTCCGGCATTGAAGAAATAAGAAATATTCTGTTGCCTAATTTTTTTTTTAAAAAAAGCAGTGTTGTGCCATGAGCCCTCTTCATCTGAAACAAACCCTCCTCTCCATTTTCACTGCGTGCAGTCTTTTCTCCTATGCTACACAAATTATATCTGTTTCCTTTGTTACATACAGCACTGATGTTACCTCCAAATTACTGTATATCTGTTTCCTTTACATTAGGTTTTGTGAAGAAAAGGAAGTAATTTCATACTTTGGGGCATGTAAATATGATTAACTGAAAACAAAGAATGCAACACACTTTAGGACTTCAATGTAAGGGCACACACAAACACAACTCAGGTTAAACCAGATCCCCAACATTGTTATGGATGGACTCTTTATAGTGCAGGTACCAGCACACAGCCAAAGAGTTATGTAACACAATCTGAGAAGTAGGAGCCCCTGAGTAGTCCCAAGTAGAGTAGGCCCAAGAAATCAATTGGTGAATTGCAAGTCAATATTATTCCATACATTCCATGAGTTTACTCAGTTGAACCAACAACCAGATGTAGGCATAGTGTTGTTAAAGCCTTCCTTTTTACTCCTGTGAGTCTGGTTCCAGACTTCAGAGAGTCATGATGAAAGTGACTTCCAGTAACCATCCTTGTTCATTAGGGAGGTTGTGCTAGGCTTACCTTGCTGGCAGGCAGCAGCAGTACTCAAATGAGATAAATTGGGCCCAACTCAGGTTTTGGATAAGTTACTGTTTGGGATTATATTTCTCAGAATCCCATTCTGAAACCAGTGTGGATAGTGGCCATGTTGGCTGGAGAACTGTGAGGATTTTAGTCCTGAAGAAACTTTTCCAAACTCTAAACGAACTGCTATTTTAATTTTTCATGTTTATCCATATACTGGTAATAACTAAAGATATTGTGAGGAATTCTGATAGAGGCTAGACTTGTCAGTTTTGTGATACCCAGAACTGAAGAATAAGCATTTAAAGGAAATGGGGAACAGTATTTAAGGAGAAGGCAGGCAAAGCATTAGTGATGAGTCTTGCTTGGGTGTTGCGATCCTGGTGGGGCCCCAGGCGTTCCAGATGGTAACACTATTCCTGAGACACTGCTTCTTCTGGATCAGAGTGTTTTCCAAGGCAACTAAGATAGAATCTATCAACCGTGCCTAAGATCTTCTTTTCTTTTCTGCCTCATGAACAAGTAGATCTCAGTTAAATTGGTGGGCTCTTTTTCATTCATTTTTTCATTTGATGCCATTTTTTTTTTGCTCTTGTGCATTTCTTGCAGTCATTTAAATACTACAAAACTCAGTATGAAGTAAAGAGGAAACAGATTGAACTTGCAATCCAGTCATTAAGGAAGGATGGAAAATTGTCACTTGATCAAGCTTTGGTAAAACAAGCTTGGGATAGAGTAACTTCCCGGGTAAGTATGAAAAAAAAAACCCATAAGTAAATTTAGGACCAATAAAGAATGTGTATTCTTTCTATACAGTGGTGCCTCACACAACGATGAGACAGATAAAGAATTTGTCTTCTTTCCATCTTTTCATTCTGTATGGGGCTGAGTGAAATTTTCTTGTGAAAGCATTCATAATCAACTAGAGGTTTCTGTTCACTGAATCACTAAATTAGAGATGGGGACGAAGCGCCAAAATGGCACTTCATCTTAGTCCATTGGAAAGGGAAATGGGACCCAAGTGATCCCCCACCCTCACTGTCTTTGCAGACAGTGGGGGGTGGGCAGTCACTTAGATAAGACTTCTCATCTCTTCCTATTCCTGCCAGGGCATAGAAAGAGGAGGGAAGGGGGGGCAAGTGCTTGGATTCCCCCTTCCTTCCTCTTCCTATGCTCCAGCAGGCATGGGAAGGGGAATCAAGCCTGACAGAAGCAATTTTTGTCTCCTGTTTACAATAGAACTTAGCACCCAACAGGCCATAAATCACTGCACATGAGATGCAACCACACACCCAAGGCTCTTAAAACCAATGAATGTTTTGAATGTTTTACTTGTGAATTTGGTATTTCATCATGTATTTCATTTTATTCCATATGTTTGAAGAAATGGACATGACCCACGAAAGCTCACATTAAAATATAATATTTAGTCTTTAAGGTGCTACATGTCTTTGTCTTTTTGCCTTGTTTTCTTTTTTTCCTTCATATTTTATCAATTCAATTTGTCTTTTTGTCTTTTTGCCTTGTTTTCTTTTTTTTTCCTTCATATTTTATCAATTCAATATCTCGTGTTCAGCCATCCTCTTTTTCTGCTACCCTCGAATTTTTCCAAGCATTATTTTCCTTTTCAATTGGTCTTGCCCTCTCGTTGTGTGTAGAAAATATAGTAACCTCAGCTCAGTCATTCCAGCTTTCAGTGGAAATTCAGGCGTCATTTCATGTAGACTCCATTTATTTGTCTTTCCAGCAGTTCATATTATCTATATGACTGTACTGAAGAGAAAAGCAAGAGACACAGAACTTATATGGGCTGGATTGATTCAATAAAGGAAATCATGGTCCTTAATCTACAATACTTAAGCAGGGCTGTTAATGCTGGGACCTTCGGGAAGATTTTAATTCACAGAGTCATTTGCATCTTGAAGGCACATAATACACACAAAGCTGTACATGCATATGCCATTAACAGTCTTTACTGTTTTTCTTTTCCAGCTATTTGAATGGCACCTGCATCTTGATAAATCTCTTCCTGCCCCTCTGGGCACAATTGGAGCCTGGCTTCATAGAGCAGAGACTTCTCTTAGAGAAGAAATAATTCTTCAACAAGCTCATGAGGAAACGGCAGACATGATACATAGGAAACTAGAGCAGCAGAAGGTTTGTATACAATGTACATTTTTGTAGTAATGAAGCTATATTAATGATATTTCATTAATATATATTGATATTTCAATAATTTCATTATTATGTACTTTTATGCAATAGGCCACTGTGACATATGCCCTAGTTACTTCCCAGCTGGATTACTGTAATGTGCTCTATGTGGGGCTGCCAATGGAAAGTGTCATGAAACTTGATCAGGTACAAAATGCAGCAGCCAGATTGCAGACTGGGGCTGTTGCAGGGATCACAGAACCCCTCTGTTACAGCACCGCCACTGGCTGCCAATGAGTTACTGGGCACAATTTAAAGTGCTGGTTTTAACTTACCCTGTTTCCTTGAAAATAAGACTTAACGAAAATAAGCCCTAATACGTTTTTGGAGCAAAAATTAATACAAGACCCGGGGAAACACAGCATAAAGCCTTAAATGGCCTGGGTCCAAGCTATCTCAAAGACCGTATCTGCCATTATGAGTCAGCTCGGGTATTAAGAAAGAGGGCTTTCTCTCAGTCCTGCTACCATCACAGGTCTGTCTGATGCAGACACAGGAGAGAGCCTTCTCTGTTGTTGCTCCCTGACTTTGGAACTCTCTCCCACAGATGGCCAAACTGGGGTGAAAAAAATATCATATTTCCCCCACTCTGGCCGCCTTACACTGGTAACCCATTAGATTCCTCATTGATTTCAATGTACTAATGATTACACATAAAGCCTTAAACATTTTAGGACCTCGATACCTGTCAGAACGCCTTCTTCCACCTAGTTCTACCTGTGTAACTCGTTATAGTCAGACTGAGGGGCTTAACTCCGAGAGAGGTCCGGAAGGAAAAAAATTAGAAAACAGGCCTTCTCAGTGGTGGTTTTGGAACATCTTCCCTCATGAGAACGGCCTGGCTCCCTCGCTGGGAGTTTTTAAGAGCAAACTGAAGACCTGGCTCTTCAGGCATGCCTTCCCTCCTGATTGTATTTAAATTCTTCTCCGGGTTTTTCCATCTTGGATTATGTTTGCCTGTTTTAGTCTTTTTATGGATGTTTTTAATTTTGGATGTTTTTTGGACTGTAAACCACCCAGAATAGATTCATCTAGATGGGCGGTATAAACGCCAAATAAATAAAGTGTGAGAGAGAGTTGGCAGTATTAGGCTAGATGGCCCAAGTGTCTGACTTAGCGTAAGGCAGCTTTTTGTGTTGCTACTTGAGGAATTTTTAATATGAAATGAAGAAGAGATCAGAAATTTGAAGTCTGGATACTTGATTGCATGTGATTTTGTAACATTAGCTATTGAAAGTTGTTTGTTCATCACTAGTAAAATATGGTTTTAACTGTGCTAATATGGGTGAAAATGGCTGGATAGTTCACTGAGTTGAAATACATGGCTGTAGAATCATGGGTGGAGAGGTCAATTCCCCTCCATGGTTCCCAGGAGAAAAGCCACCCTGTGTAATCCTGAGCAATCTGCATAGCCCTAGAGTGCCACCAGAGGTAGGAGATGGCCGACCACTTCTCAGTATTTTATACCTAGAAAACTTTAGCAAGAGTTGCCATACATTGGAATGGACTTGATTGCACAAAGCTATTATTAATGTGACTGAATTTATTTATTCAGATGTTTGAATGATCTCTCCCTTGCTGTGACCATGAGTAATGTTTGGAAGCAGTCTTTGAGGGAAGATTGGAATTGCTGGATGGGATATGCACATAGCCCTCATAATTGCAAATAATGGCTGAAGCTCTACACTGGGCAAGCCAGGAGAAATTCTGTCATGCTGAAAGTGTTGGATCCAGCAGTGCCTCTCGCCAATGACAGAATGACCAACCAAAGATTTCTGTGAATAGAAATCAGAGGACCTCAGAGTGATGTGGGAGCAAGGTAGGGTGGGTGCAAAAGGCTGCAGAGTAAAGGGGGAATTAGTGAAAACTCCCTCCTTTGTGGAAGAACCTTCTATCATCAGAAAGGGGCATAACTGAATATATCCCTTATACTTGTTTATTTTTAATCCTATAAATTTGAGATTACAGGTAGTTTTTAAAAAACAAATGCTTTAACATTTTAAATAATTCTGGAGATTGCCATCTTACAGTTTTCATTATGGTTCTCTGTTTGACTGGTATAGCTCCTAGAAAATGTCACTTGGGTCCTTGTAACTCCTTGAATTGTCTTGCTTTCATTCTGTGATGTCTTAGAAGATATGACTCATACTGTATAAGGGTTGTTTTCTTTATTGAAAGGTGAACTCAGAGGAAGATGTGCTGTTCAGGGAAAGCAATTCCATTTGCATTGTTCTCTTTGAAGAGGCTAAATAATGTATTGTGGGATTACTGTGATGTTTGTGAGGTCTGTGGTGTGAAATATATTTTTGTGTATAGTGTTATTGAGACAGTAATTCACGTGGATAAGTAATTTTTTTATTAAAGGAAGATTGCTGTTTTCTGATTTGTTAAGCAAAAGAAGAAACAAAACACTTCAAAGTACAGGAGGATGGGCTGCGTTACCCTTGGGTGCATTATCTCAGCACAGGGAGTTATCCTGTATGTAACATGCTTGCCATAAAGGTTGGGTGTGCTGGCCTGGACACTAGTGCCGCACAACGAATTTGGCAGGTGACTAAGCTGTGTTGGGCCCCTTAAAACCTCTCATATTTTCCATTGCAAAATATGCTTCCTTCCAAATTGCCCGAACTGAAGTAGAGCGTTGTTAGTGACTTTTGCTTTGGAAAACCAGCCAGTTTATTTCCCAAAGTAATGTCTTTTTAGATTTCTTTTATCTGAAAACATTGAGGGTGAGGAGTCAGAAGAAAGGGAGCTGGAAGGATTTAAATGACTGCAATCCCTATCTTGTCCTTTCTCTTTCATTACCAGAGTCTCTCGAATCCTTGTATTTTACAGAAGGTTTGTGAGTCAGATAAGTGTTGCTTTTCACTTCCCCTGCTCTACTGCTTGATTGTTCTGTTTTCCTACAAGTAGCAAATTCAAGGCTGTGCTCATACTTGCTTCTGTTTGTTCCCGATTTCAAAATCCTTCTATTTCTTCAGATAATTCATCCTCCTTTCCCTTGATAAGGAAAGTTAAATTAATTATTTGAATTAGCTTATGTTGTCCTTCTGTTCCTCAGTATCACTCTGTCTCATTAATCATTGAATTTTATTAGTAATATTCCGTTATTTGACATTTAGTTATTTGCTTTGTTTTCTCTTGGGTAGAACTTAATGTGAAGCAAGTAGTTTCATCTAACACCCGCGGTTTTTCCTTTCATTAATTTAGAAAAGATATATTCCAATCCATTTCAGCTTTACTCTCTTTCTGTTTTGCATTTCATTTCACATTTCTTGGATCATAATCAAGAATAGTCACTGTTGATGTTATCTAAATCTCCTGAAATCCCTTCCCTATAATTTCTCTTTGATAGCTTCTACTTCTACTTCTTTTTCCTCCCCCGCTCCTCCTCATCTTTTCCCACCTGTTTTCCTCTTGAATTCACTCTGTCCCAATTCCAATTTTATGGCTGGAATCCTCTTGGCATAATTTACACCACATAAGCCATATGACATCATCATCTAGTAATGATTCTGTTGGCAGCACCCTTGTGTTGATTTTTAGCTTGCAAATGCTCCTCACCTCCAAGTCCCAAGGTTCTGAAAAATTTCTCCAGAATGGAAAGGAGGCATAGAAAGTCTTCAGACCTGAAGGGAATAGGAAGCTTTCAATTAATTTAAATTATGTATTCCCATCTCCAGATGATGTCATTAGGCTTGTATGGCATAAAGTTGTGCAGGAGGATTTTGGCTAATGATTTTCGGTACATTATTTCTTGACTAGTAACATAGAGTTTGTTACTTGTGTCCCTTGTGTATGTGCACACACACCTACACCTGTCACTCTGACAAATCATGCTTCTTCTCTTCCCTGACCAGTTTAATTTGGGGCAGGCAGCTCAATCTACCATGACATTTTGCTAAGGAAATTTAGATTAACAGTTCTTGCTAATTCTACTTCAGTGTATATTGCACGCTGTTTCCCTCTTACAATTATAGTAATTCTATAGAGTAATTTACTGTCATCATCATTAGGTTGATTCCAACATGTGGCAACCACCGGGTTTTCTAGGTATAAAGTACTGAGAAGTGGTTTACCAGTTCCTCCTTCTGATGGCACTCTAGGAGTGTGTAATTTGCCTAAGGCCCCACAGGCTGGTTCTTCTTCCAGGAGGTACAGTGGAGGATTGGGTCCCAGCCTACTCAACTATCCAGTCAGCTACAACAGATATACCTTAGTGTTTTGTCTTGCATAGTATATGTTGCCACTTACCTCTTCTTCACTAGTGGATTCTTCCACCTCATGTCGGTCTATGGGATTTAGAGTGTGCCTTTCACCTAAGGATTACACATGACATCCAATATGTATATATATGTATATGTTTGTTCACAGAAATGAACACATGGAGATGTGAAGAAGAAGAAAAAATACCATTTCAAAATACTTTTTACAATAAAAAATAAGAGTTTGTGTATCTGTTATTTGTACCTGTGCAAGCTAGTCATATTAAGCAAGGGTTATATAACAAATCATCACATACTGGCAGTATTGTTGCGGATACTTTTTGCTGATGATGATTGCTAATGATTCATTTTAATAAATAATCTCCACTGAGCCTTGCAGAGCACTGTTGCTTAGATACTACAGAGAATAAATCTTACAATCACGCTTACTCTAGGTATTTTACCAATTGCATGGGTTTAAAAAGTGCATTTCTTTCTGCCTGGGACTTAAAATACAGTCATTGATGGCTCTTCCTCCATGTGTCAGAGGTCTTTATGCACAGACCATGAAAATATCTGAATTTGTATGGTTTGTAGGGAGGTTTAGCTCAGGTGAATGTGTAGACATTGCAGTCAGTGTAGTGGAGGTGGGAAATTATAGACATAAAATGTTTCTAGCTGCCTGCTGTCGGTTTTCTTCTCAGCCAATGATAGACAGATAGGTAGACAGACAGATAGTTCATGCAACATGTTTTTAAGTGGCTCAGGCAGTGTCCATGTTGCCTGTTTCTAAAATGTGCCAGAATGATTAGGCACAGCTTTAGCACAATATCTTGCAAGGCACTCTAGTTTTCTGGAAGCTCATGCTGCTATAAATGCTTTACCTCGCATATAAATGTGACAGCATGATCAAATGCTTGTGCGCATTTGAGTCATCTGTGCAGCTTTAAAAATTGTTCTTATTACCAGTACCTGTTGTGAACTGTTTTCTTTCTTCCTCACTCTCTCCTTTAAAATTAAAAAAATAAATCGAAATCAGGATGTGCTTAAAAACGTAGATAGCTACAAAAAGACATTCCAGGAGATTCATAGAGCTCAATCAGTCAATGGAGTCCCTGTTCCATCAGAGCAGCTAGATGACATGGCAGAGAGGTAAGTCTGATTTCTTTCTTAAATAATCCAGTGATGAAAGGACCCTTTGCTTTCTATTATTTCAGGTTTAAAATCAGTGTCTCTTGGCTTATAACAGCTATATGTAGAAATGGCAAGTATTTTATGGTGTTCCTCCCTTTCCTGATACCTGAAATAAGTTGTGTGTGTGTGGGGGGGTGGAGATCTCCTTGGAATTAAATAAGATATAGGTTTGAAGGAATTAGGAGGAAAACTGCTTGTTGCTATTGATCATGAGGAGTGATGTTATGTAACAACACTTTTGGGAATTATCATAGGAGACCCAAGAATGGAAAGAATTAGGCTGTAATCCTCACAATACATACTACAGCATAAGTACTGCTGAATTAAATGGGATACACTTCTGTGTAAACATGTTTAGAACTGGGTGTATGCCTCTTCTTTCCACACTTTAAAACTATTAATTAGTTTGCTATTAGTAAGCAAGCTGCTGAGTAAAGATAATGCAATATTAAATGTGCCCTTTAGGTTTTACATTTGCAGCCAGAATAATTAATTTGTCTGTTTATTGAATGTTACATTATTTAACTATAGCTGATTGCCATCTAGGTTTAATTTTGTTGCCTCTACATCTGAGCTCCATCTGCTGAAAATGGAATTCTTAGAACTGAAGTATCGTCTGTTATCGCTTTTGGTCTTTGCTGAATCAAAATTAAAATCATGGATTATCAAATATGGAAGGAGAGAATCTGTTGAACTACTTCTTCAAAATTATATAGTAAGTTTGCCCTGTTTTATTTTTGAATGCATTGTTTTAAGTTTAAATATTATTTCTTCTGCTTGTTTTTTTAAAATCCAATTCATATCCTGCATTTCATTTTTGTCATGACTACAAAACTTTTAATTTTTTTTAAAAAAAGAAAACAGAATATTGCTCCTCTGCTAAATTTGACATACTTTACTCTAAAAAGAATTAGAAGGGCATGGATAAACAGCCCACATTGTGATAAGTCGATGCATATGCTACACTGCTCATAGTCTTTGCAGACCTGGGTGAGATAACCCTGGATGCCTTCCTGTCCCCAGAATAATTACAAATTATTAACCTTCAAAGTTTTATTTTGAAAAAGAAGTTGATAATGGATACAAAAAGGCCACTGCTTATATTGGTTGCAGCAGAATAATATTGGTGCAGCATATGAAATCATCACCATCACCATCATACCGTTGCCTCATTTGAACTGTCTGCCACCCATCCAGCCATCACATGTTGTCGGGTTGCCATGGAAGTTGGTAACCAAAGTGGGTATGAAGCCCACTTCCCAGGCATGAATCCATTGTCCCTTCCCCATATGAGGCCTGGGGCAGATGCATCTTGTTCTTTTCCCCAACCCCCCATTTAAAATGGGATTGAAATTGTATGTAAGTTAAGCAGGTGAAAGAAACAGTTACCTATTGTCCAATGAATATTTTTGTATGAAGATTTATGATGGTAGAAGCTGTCTTTTCCTCTCATGATCATTTTTTTTCTTCCATATAATTGAAACAAATGAATTTTAAAAAGAATACGTAAGTGAAAGCCATGGATCTGAAATCACTTCAAGACTGTAACTCTGCACCTAACTTGGTTGATACATTTACTATAAATTTATTTATTTATTTATTTATTTATTTATTTATTTATTTATTTTATTTATTTATTTATTTTATTTAACTTATATGCCGCCCACTCTACCCAAAGATCTCTGGGTGGCTTGCAACAATTAAAATTCAATTAAAATACAATAGTACTATACTATAAATAAATATACAGTATATATTTCTTAGATACAAAAATATCTAAGAAAAGATTTGAGTCTATCAATAAGCTAGTAAAACAAATAAACACCACCCCCTTTGAAAACCCATGGTGAATAAACATGTAAATAGTTGAAATGCTTTTGACTGCTAATGTGTATTTTGTCATCTGTGCATTTCAAAATCAGATAAGGTTGCTTATGGCAATTCGTGACAGTTATGAAGCTGGAACATGTCCAGATAAGGAAATGAATGGTAAAGGACTCTATCAATCTTGCAATGACTGTAAAATAAATATGCTCATTCAGAATTGTGAGTTGCTTCTGGAGATTTTGCCCAGTATACTGAAGTGAAAAGATGCCCTTTATTTCTCTATTGTTTTAGCTGTCATACACTTGGATGGGTAGATTAGAGCTTTGAATGATTGGAACGCTGTAGTTCTTTTCCTTTTGACCTGGGTCAGTATGTTTTAGCATCAAACAAGGATGTAAAACCCTGTCCTTTCAGTTACAAATTCTCCCTTCTCCTTCTCCATAGCCTCATATAACTTAGGTATCCTTGTTCATAGGAAACTAAGGCAAGTAAATGTTGTTTTTGTTGTTGCTACTGTTGACTACATTTATTCATATGTAAGGAAAATGGTTTGAGCCATTCTTCAGTGCTGAAGAGTGCTAAATACCAAAATATAGTATTCCGGAATAATTTATTAATGTGACCAAAATGCTTTTATGGATTTGCAGATCAGTCACATCATGTTTTCATGATTTGGGGGGGGGGGGCCACTGGGCTAGCCCAGTCATTATACAGACTGTGACAGACAACTTAGGTAACAGTATACCAGAATTGCCCCACTGCTACCTTGATTCCTACCTTTATGGATTTGCAGATCAGTCACATCATGTTTTCATGATTTTGGGGGGGCACTGGGCTAGCCCAGTCATTATACAGATTGTGACAGACACCTTAGGTAACAGTATACCACAATTGCCCCACTGCTACCTTGATTCCTACCCTCTCTTCCCAATCCCTTACCTTACTCTGTCGTGGTTCCTGCCCCCTACTTCTTCCTCACCTCCTCACTCAGCTGAGTGGCTCCTCCTCCTTACCATTGCCGTCTACTATCTTGCCCATCCTCTATGTAAAGACATGGCAACGGCTCAAAATAGCTGGTGTATCTTTACATAAAGGAGGCAGAATCACTTTGCTGCTTTTTTGGGAGCAAAAAATCAGTAAAGTGTATTGAAGGGAGGCAGCTATGGCTGCAAAGATGGGAAAAGTGATAGTGGTTCTTGTGCCTCAGGCAGTGGGACAGCTTTAGTTAGCATTTTATGATATAATGCTGCCAGTTTCCCCATCTATACAGGTTCAAGTCCTCAGTTAGTACACAGTGTTAATAACTTATATGTTATCATCACTTAGTGCAACTTATCCTAAAAGCATTTACATTTTGGAAAACCAGGTCATATAAGTACTGTACATTTTCTGTCCAGCCAAAGGAGAGCATTTCTGATCCCAGTGACTCGGTGGGGGAGTAAAGTTCATTCTTAATCCTCTCTGTTTAAAATCAACTGGATTTAAATGTGACTAATGTTTGATTGATTGGACTGATGTATACTTTGGAAGTACTCTGGCACTCCTTATATAGCCTGCCCTGTTAGAGAGTCCAAAAATGCGGGCAGATGGATCAATCCAGATGAACAAACAAGACGCTGGTCTTCTGTAAAGTTAATAGCTCCTAATTGCCCATCTGAGACTCAACCACCCTTAGATAATGCAAAGGTGTTACAAGAAGGAGAGCTTGCAACACTATACTATCCTTCAGAAAATCCACTTCTCTTACAGTTGTTTGAAGACTGAAGCTAAACTCTGAGAAAGCAAGGAAGCTTGAGAGAGTGGATAATGTTATAGTCCCCTGTATAGTCCCCTGTCCCTATGAGCCTGAACTCCCCTACATCACTTCATAGCAATAAAATACATAATCTGCATGCTCTTCAAGCAGGTTAAATCTTCAGTTACCCCTTGGTAGGGATAGGAAGAACTCATTGGAAATACTGGAGTAAAGCTGTCTGTCAACACACCAGATGGCCCTGTGATCTGACTTGGTTTAAAACAGCATTAGATGCTCGTTCATTTCATCTATACAATACTAATTGGAAAATAGCAATCATTTTAGTAGCTGATAATTTAGTTAGTGCTCAAAGTTTTCTAAAAGCTTCACTATTTTTTCTTCCAAAAATTGACTTTGTACCAAGACTGTTAGCATTCAGGGACATTACTGTGTTTTTTTTTAAAGAAATCTTAAGAGGAAATACTATTTTCATATTGCTCAAAGGAAACTCTTAACATGCACGGCCATGTATAAAATACCTATTGTCCAGTAAAAAATAACAATCCTGTTGTTCATGCCAATTGCAATCTGCTTGTTTTTCAGACTGTTATAGAAAACAACAAATTCTTTGAGCAGTACGAAGTTACATATCAGATCCTGAAAAAGGCAGCTGAGATGTATGCCAAAACGAATGGCTCACGTAAGTAGCAGTAATATTTGTTCAGCATCACTTTTAATCCCTCTTGCTTTCCATTTTAATTGTGTGATCTGGTTGAACTGTTGCTAAGCAATGGGACAGCAGTGCAGTCCAAGCGTGTGTGAGTACAGAGGGCCTGAGTGACTAGAGGAATATATTTTAGAGCAACATTCTTACTAACACAGTAGGCAGCCTATGTAGCACTGAAGCTTATGGAACCTTTTCCATTGTTGCATTGAATCCTATGGGAGCAAGGAATTTCTAACCATGACAGAGGGGTCCTCCACCAACCTCATTTTTAATCCTGTTAAATTAAAATGCTTCTATTTAAGGGGTGATTTACTATATGCTTCAGTTAATTTCAGAACACACATGTCTGTATTTCTAAACCAAAACTGATGGAGCTTTCTCTTTCTAATTTTGTGTACATTGTGGACCAGATATATTTCAGACATGAAATGCTTTGACAGCCATTATGATATTCCTTCTATATTTTATTCTGAAGTGGAAGTACACCATTTCTTTGCCTGAAGATTGCATTGATAATAGTGTGTTTTCCTTTTGGGGAGGACACTAGTAGCTATGTTTTAGGCAAACCCTGTTTTTCAGCCTCATTTTGGATATACTGTCTGAATAACTAGGGCACATTTTTAGTCAATCAAAATGTTTTATCTCTATTAATCGGCTCACACTGTTACTTCTCTTTACATATTGAGAGAGTCCTTTCTCTTGGGTAAAAATATAAATCCAATCCTGTATTTCAGCGGACGAAATAGAGAGTGTTACAAGATTCATGAATGAGACCACAACACAGTGGAGGCATTTGTCAGTAGAGGTGAGAAGTGTGAAGAGCATGTTAGAAGAAGTTATTTCTAACTGGGACCGGTACAACAGTACTGTGGCCAGCCTTCAAGCCTGGTTGGAAGATGCTGAAAAAATGTTGAATCAACCAGAGCATGCCAAAAAGGTAAGTCAGGGTGGGGTGAGGTGGGGTGCAAGGGTCCTCTCTAAATTAATACCGTAGCTGTTTGCTATTGCTGGTCAACAAAGGTCCTTATCCATACAGCATAATGTACAACACCAATAGACTGAGATGGAACTAACTGTAGCTACTAATCTGTTAGCTCTTAGTGGCATCAGTCGCCAGATGGAGGGGAAAGGCAGCAGCAGTCCTTGTGCTGATGCCCCTAACAAATGCTCAAAATTATATGAGCTACACGGCCTGAATCCAGCAGTAGAAAACACTTAGGTGGGCCACATAAGTTCTTAAAGTTATATAATTGTGTTTAATCTTTAAGTTTAATGTTAGAATAGGTTTACTTGTTTTTAATATATTTATGCAGCATTTTTAAAATTGTATTCGCGAAGGCTTTCACGGCCGGGATCTAATGGTTGTTGTGGGTTTTTCGGGCTTCTTGGCCGTGTTCTGAAAGTGGTTCTTCCTAACGTTTCGCCAGTCTCTGTGGCTGGCATCATTAGAGAG